GAGGACTAAGAAAAGGTAAAGTATGTTATCTCAGCTCTTCAGGAGGATTTCTCTCACACTGTGATGAATTTATTTGGAAACAGAGTCATTTACAATATTTCCCATTATTTCTTTCCTTGAAAATAGCAAGCTTTGCCACCCTCTTCAGTTCCATCCACTCCAAAGGAGCTGCTGGAGCAGACAGCTAAGTTTCATAGAGGAACTCTTGCTAATTCAGCATAGTACAAACGTTACAACATGTGTAGATCTGAACGCAGGGACACGTGGAAGAGTGTATCAAAACAAAGGCTCAGCCAAATATGTGCTGCTAGCCAACATGATGAGATGCTAAGTGCAGTACGTACCCTCATTGTAAGAAGATACAGACTACTCCGCTAGTTTATTAAAATTTGACCCTGGTCTTGCTCCAAATTGCACTTTTGATGCCACAAAATAGGAAGGATAAGCAAGGATTCCCTCCTGGTTGACGATCAGCTTGCTTCACACGTTGCTCCACAGGACCAAGTACTGCTGAGAAGGCACGCAAAGGAAAAGTTTCATGCACAAACCTGATCACACAAGAATTGGTTCTCTTTTGCATCTCTTTCTGTTTTCCACCATCCTTCTTTTCCTATGCTACAGCATCAGTGATCCACCTCTGGGCGGATTACTGCAGAAACACAGTTTTTCAGCTCCACTCAATGAGCAGCCTGACAGCTGACACTGTGGCTCCCAACCTGAGCTCCAAGGGTGGGTTCCCTGCTGTTGCAGCCCAGCCAACACTGGGTGGCTCATTCATGGAGCAAGGAACCCTCGGTCGCATCCACGAGTTGCTCAACATTCATCATACAAACTTAAATACTTTCTCATGTACTTGCCTAAAGTTCTCTAAAGGCACCTGATTAACTCAGCAGCCATTTCCACTCCCCACAGACTCATACTTGTTGGTTTTGGTTTTTTTTACTATAATACTGTTTTTTAACACCTACGTATTTTGATATTTGCAGAAGTGAGTGTACTAGCTTTGGAGGGGTTTTGAGATGGAGAAGGGCATTTGCTTTTTTTTTTTTTTTTTTTTTTACTTCTCCAAATTAATAACACCATTTAATAAACATGACGCCTCAGACAAAAGGATTTTTGAGGTGGGAAGGGGGTTTTTTTTTTTTTTTTTTTTTTTTTTTTTAACTCTCCAAGTCCTCACTGGCCAGTTTTGCTTTTTTCTGGTTTTGTGGGTTTTTAAAACAAAAATAGTTACATTTTTGCCAAGAACTCTGATTGGCTGTTCAGTCTAACAGGCTGAAAACTTTATATATGTCTCAAAGGTCTACCTTAGATGATCTATACCATTTGATGAAAGTAAGTGCTCTCCAATTTTTCAGTGTGCCCATATTAATTGAAAAAAGGTATCAATTTATGGAAACATTTATCTGAACTTAGTCACCACCATCAGACGATGACCTTATGAGATTACATAAAGAAAAAGCCATTAACATTAACTGGTAGGCTGCCATGAAACCAAAGGAGGAAAATAATGAGACATCAAGCGGAATATCATTAACTAAAATAAAACCCCAACAACAGACACATAAAAAAAAGATAATAAAACGGCCTCCAGTCTTAAGTATTTACCACACATATAGCCAGGTTGTTATTTTTACTGACATCTCTCCGAAGCTCTGCATATAACAGTCCTGCCCCCCCACCCCCCAATAGAAACAACACTGGCAGAACAGAAATAGTCTTGTTTTCAGGAGCTCTTTCCCCACTACAAAATTATTTCATTTTTCCTCAACTTCTGGTTGATCTCTGTGCAGAACAGTACTCAACGTATGGCTGCTGAACCATAAATAGTGAAAACACTGTATAAAACATTCTAATAATCAACGTTAAAAGAAAAGCAATATAGGAAAAAAAAATCCCTTAAAAATACTGCATAGAATAAACCCTGGATATTTCTAAATTCCTTCATGTGTTCAGTTATTCTGATTAACACATGCTAAGCATTTTAAAGACATTGTGTTAAAAAAATAAAAAAATAAAACCCCAAAAAACAAGAAAAAAGAACAACCAAGGCTCTCCACGATATACTTTAAGGCAGCCTCTTTTTTCAAATGAAAATGTGTAAAGTATATTAGGATCATCTTGGGATGATTAACTTGGTCAATTTGCTCTGATTTCTTACATAAGTGCATGTTCACTGCACAGTTTACCTTGTTGCAGCATCTCTCCTGTACTTTTGAAATACACGTGGATGGTGCTCTTTCATTTTCTAAGCATACAGTTATCAGCATTATTCCCTAACAGCTAAGCAACTTTTCACAATTTTCTTCAGCAGATTAGATTCTCTTTGGTCATCCTTAGAGGACCTGCCTGAACCTGACCTCTATGATTCTGTTTTCAACCCCTTTGTCCTTTTGCTCTGTTCAAGCCATGCAACCAGTAATTAAAACAGAATGTATCAAGGTAATGAATCACTAAGAGCAAGAGAAGCCCAATGCTCCGAGCCAGGGACAACGAAGGATGGTTTTAACTGTGTTTCTTCACTTTCCAATCCCCACCAGCTTCTCACTGTATCTCCTCCACTATAACCTCTGCCACTGAGCTCTCACTTTTGGACTCTTCCTCTCTCAGCTTCCTATTTCCAACCTGCTGTAATTTTCTTTCCTCAACCAGCTGCTCATGCCTGCCTTCCCTTTTCAGCAAAGTGCTATTTGTCTTCCAAGAATAAAAGTCTCTCCAATCCTCTCCCCACATAATGAGTTATATACACATCAAATCCACTGGCTGACATCTGTTTTCTTGATTTTTTTTTTAGGACATTAATAATGTTACTTTGAAAAATCTCAAGTGTATTTCATGGCTTGACAGCATTATCCATGTGTCACAGATTATTATTCTGCCACCCTTGTGCTTCCAGTGTCAGCCTGCAGCACAATTTGTATGTCATTTCCTCAGACCTTCTGAAACATTGGACACTTGTTCCTGACACAGCAATGGAAAAATTGACCCAGTAAACATAGCCTCTTTTATGGAAGGTTCTATCTATTAAATGCCTACATCTTCTATGATACAGAGGAGCTTTTGACATACACACACTGACACAAAGAAGAAAACCTCTTCTGAAAAGAGGAGCTCATGGAGTATCCTCTGCTGAGATGAATCCTTCTATTTCTGCAAGGCACAAAAGATCCCCGTATTTCTGCAGCACCATTTTTCCTTTTTCTCCTTCCCACAAACAAGCAAGAACTGATTTACCAAATCCATAATAAAAGGCAACATATAGATAGAAAAATATACCCATTTGATCCAATGTTACCAATTGCACTTACACAACATGCAGATAGAACACCAATTTCTCTCATGTACTCCTGCAATGAGTGCACCTCTCATTTGAGGAATTCATGCTCAGACCATGTTAAATGCCTGCCTGTCTAATTTATCACAAGGTATTACACAGACACAGAAAGCTAAACTAAGGATTATTTTATCTAGAAAAGGATGAGTTTCTGACCTATAAATCACAGCATACTGACAATAAGGAAGCCACTCAATCCACATGAAACACATAGATCTGTATGACAAACTCTTCTGGTGCTAGAAATATTGTTATATATTTTACAGTCTCTATTATTAAATTTACTGACATTTCATCATACCAGTGTTGCACTAGTGCCACCAGTTTGCCTTTGATGGTCTGTACCAAAATGAGTGAAAAATGCAAGTTAAAACCCCCCATATTTGATACCTTGCAAAGAAGCGATGAAAGTAGAACAGACTGAATGGAATTAAACTCTCTCTTACACAGCTTTATAAAAAGAAAACTCTGAAGTATCAACAAAGTTCTAGAAATTTATCATCATGTTCAGACTAGTAGAGAAAGCACTTACATTTTTTCCTATTGTCATTTTTAAATCCTACACAATAAAAATACTGAATGTAGACAACAACATGTATTGTAAATAGAACTCAAAATCCTATCAGGAATATATATCTTGTCTAGACTACAGAAGTTACCCTGTGACTTGAAAAATGACATCATTAAGCACCCTTCTAAACTGGATTTCAAAGATGACAAACTAATAGCTATTTGTCATTTCCTTTTTTTTTTTTTCCGCATACTTAGAAATTTCTACTGCATGTTTCAGTGAAACTTTCTTTGTCAGGCCAACTGTATCCGATTAAATACACTTCTCCACAATGCATCTGCCCGAGTGACACAGGTAGTGCAGGACACCCCCAGTTGCCTAACTGCTTCTGACTGCCACAACCCCTCCAGTAATCATTTCCACAGTGGATGTCCCTGTGACAGAGGGTTTCTAGAGCCTCACTCAGTCTTAAATCAAATCAACTGGAGCAACGTCACATACAGGGTAAGCAAAACTCCTGCTTGGTCACACCACTGTTTCACGATTGTAAGACTAAATGGGTCTGTAGATCTCTGCCCTAAGTATTAAACAACTGCCATGAATAACAAAACTCCATGAACTCAGACTCTACCCTTACTTTAGCCTCTCCTTTATGTACTGGCGACATGCTTGGATACCTTCTTTACAACACTGCCATCTGATTAAATGGCTGAAAAGAGAAACAGTGCCACTAAGTGATTCAGCATCATTGACTATTACCATACCCAAAGAGCTATTTATTACTCCATAAGCATGTGGACTGTGCATCAATTACACCAAGTTTTGAGCTGTCTCCCCATAAACCCAAATATCCTTTTTCATACTAAATATCTTACCACCTTATCTAAAGAGATAAGGTATATTGAAGTTACTTTTTGCATTCACTTATCTCCTGCTGTACATTGTTTCTGGATAAAGAGCTCATTAATAGTTATTTAAACCTTGAAGTGTCATTTGGGAGAGAGGGAAAGGAAGTAAATTTTCATTTCACTTCCACCAGCGTAAATGAAAAATAAGCAAGATAATATGTCTATAGTTTGTACTTACACTAGCATAATCAAGGTCAGTATTTGTCATGTGGCAGTAATGTAACAAGACATGTCAAAATCAACTTACCTATCACATCAGATGTCCATGAGCCACAGTTCTGCCTTAATCTGAAGAAAACTTGACCTGTTGAAAATGAAGCAATACATTTTTACCTGTGATGAAATCTTGCGCTCTTTAGAACAGGCTAACAAACCACAGATTTTTGTGGGGAAAAACAAAAAGTACTCTGTCACCACAGAGAACTTAGCATCCCACAATTTTCTTTTTGCTTTCTGTTACAATTCAAATACTTATGGATAACTTCCATTTCCTAATCAATATCCTATCTCATTTTAATCTTGACACAGACTGTTCACTGAGGTTCAGAATTTAGTTATAAGAAGTATCTCAGGAAGGTTTACAGAAAACCCTGAAGTTTACCAATGGCAAAAAATTGTACACATAAATTCTTATGGTGCCCTTTGAACCAATCTGCAAAGACTAGAAAGGAAAATGTGCCCCCCTTCTTTACTTCCACTTTTCATCTTTGCTCCTTTCCACAGATCGTTCCTCGCCCAGAGTAAAGTCAAAAGAACTGTCTCCAAAATGAAGCACAAAACATGAATCCACCACTACTGACTTAAACTGTTAAACTGACGCCACTTAAGCAGTACAAGAGATCAGGTTTCAGGGTAAGCTAGGAAAAGATAGACAAGTCAGAAAAGTTTAACCTATGACACCCAACATTGATTTTTTTTTTTACTCAATCTATATTAACGTCGGCCTTCCTATTTTTCCCCTTGGTCATAAAGGTGCAGGGAACTCTGTTGCATCAGAATGAGGTCAGTAAGCAAAGGCTCAACCCCATTTCTACTCAAGTGAGAGGCAGAACTTTCATTAACTTGATAGGGAGGCATGGCAGTGCCTGAATGACAAAAGATATTCTGCAGGCCACCTTTTCTTGCCTTGGGTAGGGATTATAGGCATCAATTTTTTTTACTATAAGAGGGAATAATAATAATAATAATTAAAAAAAAGCAGTTATTTGGAAGAGTTGAGAGAAGGGATTATTTCCATGGTTTTATTTGTTTGTTTGGTGGTGAGCCATGTTGACACATAGCCAAGTGCAAACAAGAAAGTAAAAACTAACATTGTGCTAAGTGCTGCAAGGGAAAAAAGAACAATCTGGTTTATAATACATCAGGAAATTTCCTCAGGACTATTGTTGTCACAGTGTGCTTGCATGGTAAAAAGAGGAAGGAGAACTGAATAAATGACTTGAGGGGTGGGGGGGAGGAGAAGATTTCTAATGGACCAATTAAAGACCTTCAAGTTTCTGATATTGCCTGCAAGCAAATTGTCTTGTCACACGCTTAGACATTCATATGAGAGGAGAGTTACACATAGCCCCTTCTGCTGGTTTCCATCACTTGATTGCTGTTATAACAGGGTACATTTCAATCAAAACAGATGAGCTTGAAGCCAGCTGGACAATGCTCTGCAGCTCAGCTTAAACGCATCCACTTCTTTCAAACAATCCAAAGCTAATTTCTCTCCCCAGTATGTGAACTATACTTCATTTTACATTTCCTTTCTTCTGCGGCTTGAATAACTTTGAAGTAATATTTGCATTAGGTCCTTAGAAGCAGTCAAACCTCTGTCTTTTTAATTGTTAGGAGCAGGAAATGAAACCAGCTCCTTTACTTCTCTGCCATTCTCAGAAGGGTGGCTCTCTGCTTTTCCCCGAAGATGCACAAGTCCTGTGAATTTCAGTGCATGGTTCAGGCACCTGAGCAGGCTCTGCTCTAGTAACAGCCATAACTGAGAAGGGCTTTCGTAGCCTCTTCCTATGAGGGTCTTGAGACATTTTAAAAGGTGAGTAGCAGGATAAACACAGACACAGCTACTACATCTTTATCCTCTATTTGCTAAAGACTGAAGAAAAAGTCTTTTCTTTACGCTTTAAGATTTATAATTTCTTTAGCAATATTACTCACTACTTTTTAAATCTATAGTGCCTTTCTCTTGATTGCATTTATGATTAGAGGAAGGTTTATGAATCAACCTCAGTACAATGGAAATATATTAGCAACCTATTGAATCATTGATACATACGTTCATCTAGCTAAAACATTACCTTGAAAATTCACACACACATTTAATACACAATACTTTCCTTCTTTAATTTCAAAACTTGTGTTTCCTCATATACAGAAGTGAAATAACCTTTCCTTTTTATATCAAGATGGAGTTCATGACTCAATCTTCTCATTCTCTCTTTCTTTCAAAAGACCACCACCTTTCAGGGCACAGCATGCATTTATGCAATACTAATGAGGGAAAAGATCCTTGCATGAATCCTATTAGATGTGCTCAGTGTTGTTTTTCTGCAGTACAACTGTTTACAAAAACATTCTATCATCTTTGGGCTAGACCTTAAGAGTAGGAAATGTATTATTCAAAAGCTGATATGAATACAATTAGAATAATATGCAAGTCACCCAAACAAGCACCCAATTTCTTAAAAGAGTTAAAGCTTCCAAAAAGAGTAATTTGCTCAGTGAGTGACATGGACTATTCAGCATGCACTGCTATTCCATGGTCCTCTTAAAGTTGTTGGATGTTTACAGTATATATATTGCTTTAAATTGTTATTTGAGGGAGGATAAAGATCCTCAACTTTAAATTATTAATCCACTATGTCTAAGACATTAATTTCCTGCTTGAAGTATGGGAAATGGCAAAAGTTCAGATACCACACTGTTTCTAAAGACACAGGCTTATTCAGGCACTGCTCTGCCCCTGTGCAGATCTTCCCAATGAGCAAGTTGTGATGGGCTAAGCTGGGCAAAACTAGATGTCCTGGAGGATTACCTGCTCTCCTTTGTGAAAGGGGAGACAAACACCAAAACACCAAAAGTCAAAGACACCAAAGACCCTGTGGGGATCCCTGTGGTGGAGAGGTAGTTAACATGAACGTTAAGAGAAATCCCATGACAGGGCTGCTCCTTCATGCCAGCCCATACGGTGATAAAACCCTGTGATATACCAATTACTGTATAACAGTGGTGCATCAGGAGACAGCAACACAAAACCAAAACACATGTGGAAAGATGAGTTCTTGTTTTGGGGTCTAACTTTAATTTTTTACATGTCATACAAGCCAGCACACTCTGCTGCAGTGATCAACCAAGATAAATTTTCACTTTGCTGTTTCCTAGCCATGAAATGCCATAAAACACTAGATAAGGGATTACTATTTTATCCAGCACACCAGGAGACTACTGGCAATTATTTGAAAGGAGAAAACTTTAGATAGAAACAAAAAAGGCAATGTTGATTAACATAACTCAGTATTTTCTTTTAAAATGGAGTTTAATATAATTGAAAAGTTGAAAGGTTGAGTTACGCACTGCTTATGCACTCAGAAGATACAGAATGAACATGTGCAATACAAGATTTTCCAAGGCTGTTTCTAGCTAGGGTTCATTATCTATGGTCTTCTGAAAAAGAAAAAAAAACTCTCAATCCTACAAACCAAGCCAACTACCCAAACCTAAGAGACTAGCTAGATAGAATGTTTAAGGAGTTTCCACTCATTCTGCAGAACATACAAATGAGTTGGCAGTTTCAAAATATATATGTCCACAAAAAAACCAAATCAAATTAAACAACCCAACTAATTTCTTGAGGCACTCCTGCAACTTATCAGATCACAATAGTTTACCACTGAAGATTTAAACCTGAAATTCTTAATAAACGTGATCTCCATTGCTTTGTATGTTGTATAGGAATTTACATTTGCCTAAAGGACAGAAAGTAAAAAACCCTCCAGCAAACCACTGTGGTAATGTTGCAATATCATTTTACAGTGGAGCCAGTCAAGACTGTTAGAGCATCTGTCCCTATATTACTAAAAAAATTTTTTTTTTTTTCTTTTTAATTAAAGAAAAAGCAAACAAAAGGAGCCTTACTGAGCAACATTTTAATTTCACGACTTGCATTTGGGAATGCTTTATCTCTAAATGAAAGACTGCAGTGTTTTGGAATGGTGTTACAAGAAGCTGGACCTTGTTAATTCACTAACATGACTCTGAGAAACACTGTGAGTTAACACATTTGGATACATAAGCAAACAAGGCAGGAGCGGGGAAAGGAAGGCAGCTCCGAAATACAGCTCTGCATCACAGTTACCAAAGGCTAAAACTAAGACACAGTTGCTAAAGTCATCAACAGCACAATATTTCACATGTATTCAAAACAGTTAACTACAATCTCTCATGCTATATTAATTAACATTTTCCAGTGCCATACGTGAACTCAAGTAAACTGCAATTATTGTGCAGACACATTTCTGATGCAGCAAAGTGAAAGCTAATGATGGAAAACGCAGTAGCTCCTTAAAGGGCTGACAGCCACAACCTGCTAAGGTGGGGTACCATGTGTGCTGGAAACAGCGATGCAGTGGCTGCATCATGCCAGTCCTTCTGTGTAATCAGAGGCATCCCAACGCTCGTAGGAGCCTTGCATCTGCCAGGCTTCTGTCAGTCACTTAAAGAAGGAATGAAAATTAAACACACCGCCCAGAATTCCAAAATGAGACTGGAGCTACCAACATGTCAGGAAAAGCATTAGTACTGAGCATTTAAAAATTCACGTGTGGATTGAAAACAATATAAAAGTGTCTCTAGCACATGTGAGTCAGATGCTTTGTAGTGCCGAGCTGTACTCTCACAATAGCTGTACCCCGATATGAGGCCTGTAGGGTTTCCTTCAAGAACATTTCTTAGTTATTTACACAGTTGTTTCACGGATCTGTTAACAAGTCAGTGGGAATTCTAGATACTAAAAAAACCTAACAAAAATATTTAAGCACCTAAAGTTGAGCTTATTTGTATACATTTAAATATACATTTATGTTCCAAACTTCTGTCAACTATTAAAAGTTTGAATTGGATTGAGACACTATATACATCGTAGATCTTTGCACCTTAAGAGGTTCTTCTGTGTTTTTTTTCCTCTTACCTCCTAAGATTCTCCTCCCTTTATTTTTTTAAATAAAAAAAAAAATCTATTTTACTTCACATAATTAAGTTAAATACACAAAAAAAAACAACCACCAAAACCCTAAACGACGTAGACTA